TTTGCCTGCCCTGTCATCCATGTTAAAATGTATCTACCCTCTAGCCCTTGAATAATTTTCCCTCCCCACTCTCCTCAGTATAGAATGTAACCAGTATAGAATGTTTCTTTTATCAAGAAAGCCTTTTCTTAACTTTTTACAACAGTGGTCTCATACATTATTTGTCCTTTTGTGATTGACTAATTTTACTTAACATAATGTCCTTCAGGTTCATCCATGTTACGAGGTGTTTCACAGATTCATCATTATTCTTCAACAATGCATACTATTCCATTTTGCATATGTATCAAAGATTTTCCTCAGAAGAAGAATGTGGTTGTCTGCTTCCATAAAGATTGTTGCTGTTGTTAAGTGCCTTTGAGTCGAGTTGGTTCCAACCCATAGCGACCCTGCATAGAGTTTCCAAGGAGTGACTGGTGACTACAGCCTTGGAAATCCTACAGGGCAGTTCTACTCAGTCCTATAGAGATGCTGTGAGTTAGAATGGAAGGGAGGGCAACAGGTTTTTCAGGTTAATTTCTTTGCTATGCTTTTAATATAACAGCACTGTCCTTTGGTTGGGGTGGGTTTGGTTTCGTTAGTTTAGTGGATGGAATTGTAAGACAATGAAACTTTTGAAGCCCCTTATATATATTGTTTTTAAGCAGAAATTTTTTTTTCTTTAAAAAATAATTTATTTGTTTCATTTTGTTGCTGTTGAGGATACACACAGAAAAGCATCTAACAATTCAACAGTTTCGACATATACGATTCAGAGGCATTTATTACATTCTTTAAGTTGTGTAACCATTCCAGCCTCCTTTTCTGAGTTGTTCTGACTCCATTAACATAAATTCTGTGTCCCCTAAGGATCTTATCTGGCAACAGTTTGATGCTATATAGATAATTCTTTAAAAGAGCATAATGCTCGACTAGTACTGAGTTTTAAGAAGACTTTTTAGTTTTAAGGGACATTTTTGGTTTAAGGTTTAAAGATTCTCTCAGTGCAATAGTTTCAGGAGTCCAACCATCCTCCATGGCTCCAGAAAATGTGTATTCCATAAACATTTGAAAGTCTGTTCTGCGTTTTTCCTTTTTTCATTGGGATTCTTCTTTATAATCTTTGATGAAGATATTCAGTAATGGTAGCCATGGTACTATCCAGTTCTTCTGCTCTTATGGTAAAGGAGGCAGCTGTTCATGGAGGCAATTAACCACACATTCCATCTCCTGCTCCTAGTCCTGACTCTCCTTACTCCATTGCTCCAGGTGAATAGAGACCAACTGTTGTGCCTTGGATGGCTGCTTGCAAGCTTTTTAAAATTGTTATTCTTATTATTTGTGAATTGGGAGAAGGTTTACAGAGCTGATCAGTTTTCCATTCAAACATTCATATACATTTTGCAGAAACTCATTTCTTAACTTCTAAGCCTCAGATTGCTAATAAGCATTTACAGAGAAAGCCACTGGAACCTTTAGAGGTTAAGTGACTGACTCAGTAAGAAGTCCTGGTATGGCAACAGGATAAACACTGCACTGCTAACCACAAGGTCGGCGGTTCAAACCTACCATCTGCTCCTTGGGAACCCTATACAGGGTCATTGTGAGTCAGAATTGACTTGACAGCACTTAACAACAACAATATGCAAGAGTAAGTCCAGGAAAAGAATAGTTTTCTTAATAACTATTTGTTGCTGCCAAGCCTAGGAGTACTTTGACATTAGTAATTGTCCATACCACAGTTCTTAGCTTTAGCATTGACCCTCTGAGCCGCCACAAGACTTTTTATAGGGGAGATTTTTCAGGTTTATTTTCTTTATGGTGGTGGTGGTTGGGTACTGTGGAATTGGTTCCAACCCATAAGGGTTTCCAAGGATGCAAATCTTTATAGGAATGGAAAGTCTTAATTTTTTTCCCTCGGAGTGGCTGATGGATTTGAACCGCTGACCTTGCAGTTAGCAGCCCAATGTGTACCCCACTACACCTTTATTTTCTTTATCAGTTATTGAAAATACAATGGTAATATTTTTAAAGGAAAGAAAATTACTGCTCAAACAGGAAAATGCATTTGTTAAGCTAAAATTTCATTTCAGGCATACCAAAAATTTATAAAGGAAAAAAATTACACAAAAAGAGAAAAACGCCTTCGATTGATCACTGATGCCTAGGTTATATATCAACTTTCTTACTTAGCAAAGGAAAGTTCTTTTAGACCAATGCTAAAGGCATCACAGAGGGTAACAGATGACACTGTTCATGTGACACAAGTTGGTTATTAACAGTAACCTTTTATCAGGAGTCCTTGTGTGGCACTGGAGGATAAGCACTCAACCTCAAGGTCGGTTTGAACCTCAAGGTCGGCAGTTCATACTCACCAGCTGCTCCTTGGAAACCCTATACAGGGTCACTATAAGTCGGAACCGACTTGACAACACTTAACATCAACAATCTCTCATCAAGAGAAGTTACTGAAAGACTACTAGAAACAATCCTAAAAATGTTGTAAGAAGCTTAAATATGGTAGTAATTTTCCAAAACTAGTATCTTAGAAATGAAGTAACCCCTTAACACTTTGAGATTCCTCTACCTAGTGATTTACGAAATCCTAAGAAATCATGTGTTTTCAAAACATCCATGTGACATAGATCATCACTATTAACACAAAGTTTTTAGGCATACAGGCCACATGGCAGCTGTTAAATGATTTGTCTAAAAATACTGATCCGTTAGCATACTAGAAGTATAGTTGCTTGTAAAGCATACAAAATTAACAAAACACACCACCATATATTAAAGAATTGAAAATATTCTATATCTATAATAACGAAGGTCATCACACTTGTAAGAAACTTACGATCTCATTCGCAGGAGTTTCCAAATCTGTTATTCACTGGTAGCATTACAAGAAGCACAATCATAAAACTGTATTTAAACTTTCGATTGTTCTGTTTACAATGAAATCAAAGATTGAGAACATTTATGAGTTTAAGAATGGGCTAAATGGTGAAGGTAGGGCTATAGTTTTACTTAGCCTGGAACTTCAAAATCAGGAAAGAACAACCCCGTGACCTTAATTTGCTCAAGCACTAACAAGTCACAACACAATGCATTTTTTCACTGTATTTTCTCTTTTGGCAAAACCAATATTCTCACATGAGGCAATGTCTCATTTTCTCTGGAGGTTCTCAACTTTAGCTCTACTGTTTCTTTATGCACTACCTCTACCCTGTAACCTCCCAAATATAAAATAAGGAGGTAATACTGAGCAAGAGAAAGTAATAACTATCACACAATCTGCTACAGTTTTATTCATGACATGAGTTTATGTTAATGGAAGAGAACAACTCAGAAAATGAGTGTGGGAATGATTGCACAACTTGAAAGCAATCAATGTCACTGAATTGTACAAGTAGAAACAACTAAATGCAAGGAGCTCCCTCTCCCTATATTCTAGTCTTTGTTCTTTCGTGAAAGGACATTATTCCTGATGAAAACAAGCATACAGACAAAACTTTAAGACCGAGGCTGGCTTGTTGTAGCTCTTTTACTAACAACAACCAAAATGGGCTAAACTTGGTGGAATTTAATTTCCCTCCTCTTTCAGTATGGGTTGATGAGGATCTTCCACCTCCCAAAGCAGCAAAGCAGAAGTCAGGAAAATCAATTACATAATGCAGTGTCCCAAATTTACATCCTTGTAAAATGTTAATATCCTTATTTTAAATGATTTTAAACGTGTGGTGCCTGAAATTAATCTGGGAAATAACACCAAATAAATGCTTTCCTCCTACGTGCATAAATTTTCTATAAAGACTAGATTCAAGGGCCATAAACAGGAATCAGAAAATGCTTAGCCACTTCTTTAAAACATTAGGGTACAATCTAAGATTTTAAAGCCTAGTCAAAAGGTATTTCTAAACCTAGAAAATCACTAAACTCATAAGGTAACCCCCCCTTCCAAAAACAACATTGTTGTTGTTGTTGTCAGGTGCCATCGAGTCAGAACCGACTCATAGCGACCCCATGCACATCAGAACGAAACAATGTTCGATCCTGGGCCAACCCCACTACTACTCATTAATATCAAGATAATCTGGTTATTTAAAATTTGGCTTCTTGGGAACGACCTCCTAGGTATTAGTTAGACAGTGGTTGTGGGTAAGGTTTGGGGGTGGGAGGGAGAGGGGGAGGCCAAATACCAGGAGATAAGCAGTCATTATTTCCTGCTGTTTTCATTCAGTTTGGGTTTTTGTTTTCTTCTGCCTTGAGCTCTCTTTACTGAGTCACTCTATGAAGGGCTCCCAAAATGAGCTTCTCTCCATCTTTAACTTCAGCAACTATTACAAAATATGCCAGTGTTCCTCTTTTGCTTTTCCCCTCTACTGTAAGGGAAGGGAACTGTACAACCTGGAAACATAATGATATAGCCCTTTCTGCCGCTGATGAAATCCCACAAATGACACTATGAAGCTCAAAGCGAAGCTGTGACCAATACCACGTTTCACAAAACCAGGCCAGCATCACAAAGAGGGAAATTATGCTTTTTAGGCCGGGAAGTCCCTGGGAAATGTCTAGCGAGAAGGGATATCCCCGCTGTTTCCTCGGCAAGCTCAGAACACAGCCGACGGAACCAAGTCCAGAGGCAAGTATCTTAGGGTAACGTGCTTCAGGGCGGGGAGAGAACAAACACCAGGCTGGTGGAGCAAAGTAGACGAAGTTGTCTCGCATCCTGCATCCCGCACCTGCCCCTCAACTGTCCTGGGGCGCTTTCCAAACCATTCTCATCCCACTAGTTCTTGGCTCCACGCAGGCGAGCAGCATTCCTACTCAAGGAAAGCCTGACTCAGGGACGCGGATGCGCTTCTGAGCTCCTGCAAGCCGATCCGAGCAGGTAGAGAGCCCGCGTGGAGAGAGGGGGCGCTCGGGCCCCCCCACTCGCCGACAACCCCTTAGGGTAACATTGCTGGTTTCCAGCCTGTCCCTACGTGCAGAACTCTCTGGAAGCCCCTGGGCGGGCGTACCTCGGATGTAGGTGCACTTGCTCTCGTCCAGCTGGCTGGAGGCCGAGCCGCCCATGGCGTGGGTGCAGGCGTGTGCTGAAAGCGGCGCTTTCCGGCCAGCACCCGGGATGAGACTGACAGATCCTGTCGGACGGCGGCTGCCCGCTCCTGGACGCTGCTGCGACGGGTGACTGGGCTCTTCAGTTAAAGGGCAAACTTCCTCCCAGAGGCGCCGCCTTCTCGGGCGCCACCTCCAGGTCCGCGCCCTCTGAGGCTTTGTGGGCTGGCCCGCCGAGTCTTCCCGCCCTCACCTCACTAGTGAGCTAGCTCTAAGGATGTCTAGTCTAAAATGATGTTCTCTTTCTCTTTGCTCATTCTTTCTGCCTCTTTTTGCAGAGTTATACTTTTTTTTTTTTTTTTTTAAAGCATCGGTGTAGGGCAACAGTGAAAACACCTCCGGGGAAGTAGACCATTTCCCGGTGACTGTAAACATTTATGAGCTGGTAATGTCCCCTATTCAAATCCCACAGAGTCCTGTGAGATTAAGGTCCCTTTACACACTCTCCTGTACAAGTTTAGAAGCACCTATTTTTCTCAAATGTGATTCTCTTGACCAACATCACCCTGAAAATGTTATTGTTGTTATTGTTAAGTGTCGTCCAGCCGGTTTCGACTCATAGCAACCCTATATAGGCTTTCCAAGGAGCTGCTGATGGGTTTGAACTGCGACTTTGTGGCTCACAGTCCAGGACTAATCCTACAGCGCCACAAAAACCCCTTCCTCCCCACTTCTCATCAGAGAAATCTGTGATGGGGCCCAGGAAACTTTTTCCAAACCCTGAAGGAAGTTCTGAAGCCCACTGAAGTTTGCAAACCAGTGGCAAACTGTACTTTCTTGCAACCAAAAAGTTGGTCAAGGGGGGATTGGAAGAGTAGAGGGAAAAAGAGACATCTATCTGGAAGGGGAAAACTAAGATCAGGGACCTACAATAAGGACCCCTAGTGGCACTGTAAAATAAGCACTGGACTGCAGCCTCTCAGAGGGAGAAAAATGAGGCTGTTGACTCTTAAAGATTTATTACAGTCCTGGAAACCCTATACAAGGTCACTGTGAGTGGGAATAAACTCTATGGCAGTGGGGTTTGAGTCCTGCAATATGCTCCCAGTCCTGAAACTTTGTTAAGCTCTAGGTCAGTCTGTCCCTACACCTTTAGGCTCCGTTCCTCTCCTTTGCCAGCTGGAAATAGTTCATTAGAAAGGACATTTGTTCTTTTCCCACAACCACTATTTTATTTGGCAGACTCCCCAGAACAAGACCTAGCTTAGGCACTGGGATCGCCAATAATTTCACCCTATTCTTAGTAATCCCTTTTTTAGTAGGTCCTCCTTCTGGCTTAACCACAAGGTCAAATGGGTTGTACATGTTAAGAACATGGCCTCAGTAGAACTTTAGAGACTTTCCCCACCCACACCCTCACCCTCAAAGTTAATTCATTAGCACTTTAACACAAGTATTTCTCACACCCCACACCTAATTTCTTACACCCTTTTTTCCAAATCATCATTAAATCCTGTCTGTCAATTCTACAATATATGTTCAATATCCAAGCCCATTTCATTCCTTCCACTGTCATCACTTGCAATATTTCTCACCTGGGTCATTGTCATAGTCTTCTATTTGGTCTCCCTCCTTATGAGTGAAAACCAAATCTATATCATGACCTGGGAGGTCTGACTTCATCTGTGCTGTCATCTACCACCACTGTTTGCCTTGCTTTCTCTGTCCAGCTCTACTGACCTATTTGTTCTTCTTAGGACACATCAAGCTAAATCAGTGCCTCAGAGACTTTACACTTGCTCTTCTGGTGTGGCACTGTAGGATAAGCACTGAACCACAAGGTCAGTTTGAACCGCAAGATCAAACTTACCAACTGTTCCTTGGAAACCATATACAGGGTCGTCATGAGTTGGAACTCACTTGATGGTGTTTAACAACAACTTCACTTGGGACGTTCTTCCCTCAGATATTCACAAGACTTACTCTCAAAGTCTTTCTTCATTCAACTCTCCTCTTAATGCAAACACCTCAGAGTAGCGGCTTTCCTGAACACCTTATCTAAACACCAGTCCTCATCTCTCTCTACCCTTTACCATTCATCATCTTTCTTCATATCACTTAACCATCTACTTACCTATATTTTTTTGTCTCCCTCCACTGAGATAAAAGCTCATAAGGTCAGAGATTTTATTTTTGTATTTTTTTTTTTGGTTGTTGTTTCTTACTGTTTTGTTTGTTTGTTTGTTTTCATTTTTTTATTATTATATTCTTTAAGTGCAGAGATTTTGTCTATTTTGTTCTCTGATGCATCTCAAGTGCTGAGACTAGGACCTGGAACATGTTGCTGTTAAGCGCCATTGAATTGGTTTCAACTCATAGCAACCCTGTATAGGGTTTCCAAGAGCTGGTAGGTTTGAACTGCTGACCTTGTACAGTTAGCAGTCCAGGGCTTACCCTACAGCACCACACCAGGTGGTGTTGTTGTTAAGTGTCGTCAGGTCGGTTCCCACCCATAGTGACTTGTATAGGGTTTCCGAGGAGCGACTAGTGAGCTTAAACTGCTGACCTCACACTTCAAACAGCTTTGCAGTCATGTTAAGTACCGTCAAATTGGTTCCAATTTGTTCCAAATTGGTTCCAATAGTGAGGGGTTTCTGAGGAGCAGCTGGTGGGCTTGAACCACAACCACCAACCTTGCAGTTCAAACTGAACTTACAGTGCAGTGAATTATCAGGACCTGAAACACAGACACTTCTACAAAGTACCTGCTGAATAAGTACATGGATGAAGTATGAAATAGAAGAATCTAGACTTAATGGAGGTTGTGCCTGTGATGAGTAAATAAGGGGCATTTCCAGATAACTGTTCAGTGATTTGAGCTACTGAATGTTCAACTCCTATCTCAGTATTCTAATCAGCTCTAAGAATTAAGTGTATTTTCTCAGAACAGCAATTGTTTTCATTATATCAGTTGGTATAATTGTGCCTCAAAATATTGTTATTGATGTTATTGATGAAAACTAATTCTAGTTTTCTGACAGAAGTATAGTTTCAGCTTGTCACTCTTGTTTGGGAATACTCTGAGAAAAGACTGATTATTCCAATCTGTCATTCTTTACTCATTTGTAGTATTCAACACAGATGGAACGAGGTATCGGAAGGATTTATATGGTGTAGTATTAACATTCTTCTAGCCCAACAATTCCAACTTTGAATTTTAATCTGAGAATTTAATAGCATGTGACCTGGTCAAACTGTGTCACTTAGATGTCTCCATTTCTTCATCTGTTAAATATAGCTCATAACAGGTACCTCATGGGGTATTATGCAAAGTAGTGATTGGGTTTGTGAAACACTTAGCATATTCCCAGGAACAATTTAATCGTTCAGTAAATGAATTATTGGGAGCATGGTGGCTCCATACCATCAACACTGGACAGCAAACCACAAGGTCTGCAGTTCGAGCCCACCTGTTGCTCCATGGGAGAAAGATGAGGCTTTCTGCTCCCTTGAAGATTTAAAGCCTTGGAAACCCTATACAGGGATGCTATGGGTCACAAACAAATCAACAGTACTTAATAACAAATGACTTATTATCAGTAGGGGCAAGACAGGTCAAGGATGTAAATTTCTAGAGACAGTGGAATTTTAATTTGACCTTGAAAATCATTAATGTTTACATTAATAAAGAGCTGCTGCTGTCTTTTTTTCCAAACAAATAAAGCTTCTCTGCACCTTAGTTTCCAGGAAAAAAATAAGAAATTCAATATTTTAGTCATAGCACTTAATATGTAGGCATCGTTTTATGAATCACACACTAAAAAGGAGTATAAATGCAATTCAATAAATTTATGAGCCAGATTCACTTTCACAGGATTCAAATCAGCTAGTTAAGAAAATGTCCTATTCAATTTTAAATTCTATATCAGTATATTTTGTATTGAAATACCGTAGGACTCATTTCTTTGAGGTAAATATCACATTGCCTTTTAAAAAACATCTTTACTGAGAAATAATTCATATCCATAAAATGTACACACTTAGTTTATCTGTTTAAGGAACAAATATGTTTAATTAAGATTTAATGCCTTTAAAATATGTATGCATTGGGGTTCCTTTGCATGCCATAAAACTGTGAGCTCTTTGTTTACCATGTACTTATTTGAGCTCTTAGTAGTCATCTATTTGGGTAGTTAGCTGTTTACAAAGCAGAGACATTCTCATATTTCTTTGTACTTCTCCCAAGTACCTTGAACTGTCCAGTAATGTAGAAGTTGATGTTGTTAGCTGCCATTGAGTCAGCTCATGGTTACCCCATGAACAACAGAATTGGACCATTGTAACCCATAGAGTTTGACTGCTTCTCAGAAGTAGTAGATCACCAGGCTTTTCTTCCTGGTCTATCTTAGTCCAAATGTTCCACTGAAATCTTTGCAGCATTACAGCAACATGCAAGCTTACACTGACGAATAGGTAGCGACTACCTTGAGAATGCATTGGCCAAAAATAGAACCTAAGGAGAACAAACAAGATGGCGGATCGGGTGGACGTATAGCAGAGAGCTCCGCCAACAACAACACAGAATACCCGACCAAGCAGGCTCAGAGGATGGTCCCAGAACTCTGAACCACATATAAAGGAATACTTA